ATAGTTTTTAGGCTTCATAACTGAAGTATGTTAATTAAATGCCTTTTTTTCTAATAGGAAAAATATAGATATTTTTCACCTCAAGCAAAAGGGATCATACCATACTTATAATGTGGGTCTTCTGTATACCCCATGGTGTATATCACACCATGGGGGATGATAGGTACTATCACATGTGAATTACTTTGAAAGATTTTTTTCATATTGCATACTTTTATATCATTACTTTTCTCTTGTAACAAAGCACTTTGCAAATCAAAAGCTGAATAGAATAAGGCCATTTCTTTGCTGAAATGAAATCATCTCTCTTTTGGTGAAGGGGCAACCATTTATTAAACATAGTTAGGGAAAAATGGTGTAGAACAACCACCACTGAAGAGCTGCAAGTAAATCTGACTCCTTATAAAAGCACCCAGAAATCATCCCTCTTTGAATAGAAACAAGGAATAATTACATTTATTTTCTGTCTCTTCTTATAAAAATACTATGAAAATGCATGGATTTAAAAGGCATGAGAAAAGTAGTCAGTCCCACAGAGTTGCCCAACTGTGTCTTATTTGTAATTCCAATGCAAGCAAACAACAGCAGAGCCTCTGGTCATGTTTCTTACATATGGTGTAATTGTCTAATGTGCAAATCATAATTAAAACAGAAAATTCCCTAAGCTCTCCATAAAGGAGGGCAGGGAATAGTTTTCACATCACACTGGTATTTTATGGATATATTTTCTTTATCCTGAATAAAAAGAATAATTACAAAAAAAAAAAAAAGAATTCGTAAATGAAAAGTTAGAAACAGATTGCATGCTGTTCATTGAATCAAGTGTTTAATTTAGAGATTTTCAAAGCATTTTGGTAACAATAAGTGTAAAAAAATATATAATTAACTTGCATTTTGAAATTGGGGGAGAGCATAATCATTATAAATCTCTGTATGATTCCAGTACTAAAAAGAACTAAGAAGAAAAAAGATTAAATAATTTTGGGAGCTGGCTATGGGCCAGATCTTTCAAATCGCCTCCAATGTTGACTATAAAATCATATGCCATGAGGCTGAAAGACTGTAATGCTATTAAGTGGAATGTCTATTACTTCCTTAAATATTAGGCATGACTTCAAAAAAAATTCTTTCTAAGGAGGGAGGATGCCAAAATTGTGTCATCTCTCTCTTCTGCATTGGCTAAAGCAATGAAGGGAGTTCTGCTTTGCTGTTTAGTCCTCCAGTATATTTTGGACAGAAATTGGATGTCACTTTAGTTACTTTAACACTTCAGTGTTTTTAAGTGGCCTTCCCTGATGGATCCAAGACATCCTTCTCCCTTTTTTCCTGTGATAAGGCCGTACAGGTCAGTTCTGAGAGTCTGATGCATCACAACTAATGTTGGCATCTTCTTTAAAAAAAAAAAAAAAGGAAAAATTGCTCATAGCAACAATTGTGAGTAGATTTTTTTTTCCTGAAACTAAATGTAGGTGGTTCTAGTTTAAATGTCAGATTTTTTACAGGTGTCTAAATTTCATCAGCAATACAGGTCCTCTTGAAAAAAAGAAAAAAGTTGGATACCTAGACATTTAGGAAAATGGGCTTATCTTAGGTGTTTAGGCAATAAAAGAACCGATTTGAACTATGTGGGGAATGAAAGAAAACAGGTTACATTGCCCTATTGTAGAACGCTTTGTTTAGGCAGGTGCAAGTTATCTGCAGTATTACTTCTATGGCAAATTACGTGAAATTCAGGGAATTATGCCATCGAAATGCCCCAAACAGGACTTTATTGGTACCTGTATTCTAGGTAAGACTTCTAACCCCAAAAACGCAAGGAACCATCTCTTTTACCTTTAATCTAAAATTCAGAATCAGTGATTTTAAAAAATATGTTCTGAAGTTTTACGTGTAACAAACATGGTTGCCTTTGCATAGTCGATAAATCATCACCCCACCTGCAAGTCCCAGTTACTTCCCTCACACTGGTCTGTGAAGTTACTTGTTTTACACACATTAGGTTCAGTGTATGCATCACAGATTTAGCTTTTAATAGCCTAGCACAGTTTGTATTCCTCCCAGCTGTGTGTCACAATCAGGAACTTTGATCTGATACCTTCTAACATCTATAAGTTCCTAAGGAGTAAATGCAATATAGTCTTAATATGACTGATTTCAGTTCACACAAAACTTAACTCAGCTATGATTACTTCATGAGAAAGCTTGCTATTATTGTTTCTACTTCTGATTACAATCCCTTCAAGTTTTTCATCTCGCAAAGACAGTGACCAGGCTTGCTGTAGGACTGCAGATCAATGAGATATTAAAAAAAGAGTACTTTGTATGGCTAGAAAACTGCATAAATCAAATGACAACAAGAAGTTTCTGAACAATGGTACTTTGACAGATGTGTACCCCTGTAGTTAGGGAACCACTTCTTGAGACCTTTTAAATAAAACAACTCCATACCTTTCACACAGAGTTTGCTTTACATTAAGTTTAAAATTATGATAGGATACTGTTTCTGAAAGTCGAATTCAGGAAAGGAAAGTGATAGCTGCTTACAAAGCCTCAGGACTTAATTCTGCTTTCAGTCAATGCTTATGAAAGAAAACTTCTGCTTTCTGTGTGCGTTAGCCTGAGAGACAGCTATTTCTGAAATGAAATTTCAGGTTTGGATTCTATGCTTTTTTTAAGGAAAATTAAACTACAATGAGAAAAGAGGATGGTTTTCATCCCAGAACCATTGGAAACATTTTCTGAAGTTCTCTAATTCAGATTCTTCCAACTATGTATTTTTTCATATACTTCATATACTTTTTTTTGCTTTTTCATATATTTCACTTTCATATATCACTTCCAAAGGAAATTAGAACTTTATTTAACAAATCCCTTTTTAGCTTCTCCAGTTGATATTTTTAGGAAACTGGTTCTTAGTGATTAACCCCTTTTTCCTTTCTTAGCCTGAAGGATGCAAAACTGCATAGTTCTGAACCATTTATATTTGTGGTGATAGCTCCCTGTTAAGAGCAGCCTTCTTGACTAAAGCAAATTCCCAACCTTTTTTAAAGACCCTAAAAAAGGAGGGTTCATAGTTTATATCTTATATGACATACTAATCTGTACTCAAAGTATGTTACTGCTTTTTAGGGTCTCAGCCTTTCCAATTCCCTTTAACATGGACTGAATGAATCTACATTTCTACCTGTGCTCTGACACCTTGTTTCATGTTTCATGCTTTCAACATTCTTACTTCTATACAGGAGGTCAGGTTATTTTTCTTATACCCCCCCACCAGAAAAAGTCCTCTGCTGTCAGCTCTCACTGCTGCCCACCAAGAGAGTTGGAGTTTTCATATGTTATCATATGTTATCATATGTTGCCTTGTGGTGAGGGAAGCAGGTCACACTACTGGGAAGGAGGGCTTACCTAGTGAGTTAGCAGTAAATGCAGCGTTGTCACTTCTCCAGTATCCCAGGGAAAAGCACGTCTGGGACCTCAGTGCAAAGAGGAAGTGCAGAGGTAGACTCTCCATTCAAGAGAAGTCCATAATAAAGTAGAAAACAACAGGAGGAGCCAGGCACAGAAAGAACAGTGATCCACAGCATGGTCTAAAACCCCATGTAAACTCATTTTAATCCAAATACATTAACATGCGCCTTACAGGCTTCTTTGTGAAGTGGAACTCCTGCTCAACAGAGACATTTACAAAGTCAAATTTAGAGACTAGAGAACATACACACTCCATATGACACCCCATATTCTCCTATGCATCTCTATACCTCTTTCCCACTCCCATTCATTGTCTCTTCTAACATTATGGTTGCTGTAGGTATAAAGAGTAGATAATTAAATCATATTTGAAGTTCAGTTGTGTAATGAATATCCTGCAGTCTCATTTGGGCTTCCCTGCTGCAGAAAAGTACTGGCAACTTTTACCAATAGCATGAAATAAACAGGGGTTTGGTCATTATTCTCCCAAAGCAGCTGCCGTAAACTAACAAAAGGTTTTAGATACTGTGCTGCTTCTCATAATGCCTTGTGGCTGCTGCAGGGCTAAATCTTTGTTTATCTTCTGTCATAAAATCTGGGTCTTGAAGATTCTCTGATTTTCATTCCCGCACGTGTTTGACAATGACTTATCCTGTAAAACATTCTGACTCAGCAAATTCAAAACACTCAGTTGTAATTTTTAAGTGAGAAAACTGCTATAGTGTAGAAGCTTTCACACATCAAAGGATTCATGTTCTAAATTAGAGCCCACTATTTTGTGAGACATTAACAACAGCAACGTTTCACCCAGAGCAGTCCTGAGGAACAGGCTTTTTGATGGGGAGGGTTCAAGCACTAATATTCCATGTAATGTTACTATTTATTGCTGCTGTTGGGCCACTTTTTGCAAGCACTAACGTTAGCACTGAGGAGGAATATAAAAAATGGTTACTCTTTAAACCTGAATGTCAGCATGGACAAAAGCAAAATGGTTTCCTAAAGTCGACTTGGAAACAAGGAAATTTTTTTGTTTGTTTTCTTGCCTGATCCTGTGCAGCGTCAATAAGGTGAGTTGAAACTGTTGGGATATTCAAGCTAAAATCAAAAACACTGACAACACAAATGCTTCTACTTTCACAAAGTGAACTATGAGTTGAATTATGCTAATTCACTGCTAGAAAGACGTCTTCACCAAGAAGTGCTGGTTTCTCTCAAATCCAAACTGTCAGTATCATTCTTGTTTTTGCTAGGAAATCCCACAGAGCTGATAGTCTGAATGACCTTCTGTCATGCAATATGTGGGACTTACATAAAAACTTTGGAGATAAGGGACCCCAACATGATAAATGTGTTTTTCTAGATCAGTGTTTTCCAATTTGCCTCTGATGGTTTCACCAATTCCTGTCCTTCAAACCTGTCCAGAACAACCTGCAGTGACTTTTTGTCTAACTCTTATTTGTTTGAGCTTTGGCTGAAGTTGCAATGTTCCCTTATGTTTTTCCACTTTATTTTTTCTTTTTGAATTTCAGACTTATCAACGAGTCTTTGAGGGACCAGTTGCTAGTTACCATACAGAAGACTTTCACATACACCCGAACCCAGGCACAGCACCTCTTCATTATCCTCATGGAATGTATGAAAAAGAAGGAGCTGGTACGTTTACACTTTTCTTAGAGGCAAAGAAAGAGCTCGGTGCATTGTTTTTATCAAGTCTTTCAAGTGCCTGTTAAAGGATTTCATAAATCTGATCACTGTGATCCAGACTCTAAAAGGATATTACATCATGCTGACATTTGTTTGTTTTAATCAAAATTTTCTCATTTAAAATGATTAATCCAACAGATCTGTTCGCTTTGTAAATTCCTCTAGATTTCCTTTGGCAGGACAAAATCCAGCTAGTAGAGTATGAATATTACTGCTTTTCAGTCATCCTCAGGCATACAGTGATTAAAATTCTACATCATTCAACTACTGGAAACCTCAGAAAGAAGCATAATTGTTTATCTATCACTGGGATCATATTTTAAAGATGCTGTGGAGTTGCACAGTTGTTTTATTTTATTACAGAGATGCGTGACAGGAAAAGAAAATAGCCTGTCTCCAAGGTTCCTATCCTGCAGTGGGAAGGCATACTTTAACTCATACTTACAGTTTCTTGAAGAACACAAGATCTTTCAACAATTTCTGGGAGCTCCACGAGGCTGCTTTTGCAGAAGCATTTTTGAATCACATTGTAAAAAACTTAGGATTCAATTCCAGGGGTTTTTATTTCTTACAAACTGCCTGAATAGACACACTTCAATTTTGCAGCTTAATCTTTCTTCTAAGCTTTATTTTCAGTTCATATCACAGGCTCCTGCTACATTTTGTGTAGAGTAACACTCAAGAGCAAAGATTGACTCAGTTGTTTTACAGAAGTTTCATTTTCTGAAACTGGTTAAGTTTTTTGTGACTTCATCCTCTGCAGTGCGTTTTAATTTCAGTTGAAAATATGGCATAGAGTAAACGCCACTGGAGAGGAATGGGGGAATATGGTCAGGAAGTGTTAAAAACAAAAGGCTGCCCTTCTAAACAGAGCTTTGCAAACTAGAAGATACTTCTTTATATGGTTCAACGTACCAAAAGCGCAGTATTCTGTTCAGTAGCCAGCTGTTCATGCATCCGTGAAAAAGTGGCCAGCCTTCCTCATGCATAACTAATCATTTACAAGTACCACAATCAGCTGGCATATACCTTGGACAATGGCAGAGAGGAGATGATCCCAAGGACAGCTTTTCAGGGAAGACATGACAGCAGCATGCAGCTCCACTGTGCTGTCGCAATGTACATCACTGTTTGAGCTGGACATACAGCAGTCCCTGCCACCTTCTTTCTCCCACAATCAGGATTCAAACTGTATAGCAGACTTTAAACATCCTCTAGCTATTCACAAGCAGCCAGTGCAGCCCACAAAGTATAGACTAGTCATACCTTCCCTGGGTAAACTACATGAAGATAAAGAGTTCCTTTTTCTTTCTTTCTCATTTTTTCCCCCTCCAAAATAAAGACCCTCAGAAAAATATTACTGTGCTACAGAAATACTTTTCTTACCCATTTATAATAGCCAAGGTATGCCATGACCTCCATGGCACTTGAGTTTCCTTTACATGTTTAGTACCTATGGGCATCATTCTACCTTAATGTTGAATTTGCTTTAACATTTCTTATCAATAATTAGCAGAGAAAACCTCCTTAGAGAAACAGCATAATTCTTTTATTCTTTTATTTCTGGTAATATAATAATAACAATAATATGTACATATAGGACCTCATTGGGAACTAGTTTTCTGCATGCAAACATACAAAACATACTTAATAGGAGAAGATGGAAGAAAGGAATGAGGAAGGAAAGGAGATATAGAGGGAGAGGAAAAGGGAGGGAGCAAGGGAGGCAAGAAGGCAGAAAGAAGGAAAGGCAGGAAGGTAGGAAGAAAGGAAGAACAGAAAGTAGAGGCAGACATTGAGACTGGAAAAATGCAATTCTGGACTGTTCCAGACATCTAAATCCAGAACTGGTTGTCAGGCTTTGAACAAACTCTGCTACTGCAAAGTTAACTGTGATGTTTTTCTCTGCAGTATTCACATCAGGATTTTTATTGCAAGCAAGGTTATGCATTTGTTACAAGTTTCTTTGCAGACATGTAACCTCTGTCACCACTGACACTCTTTACCTACACATCTTGTGAAGAGCTATTAGCCAGGAGATGGTTTGCCCAAAATTAGGTGTTCCGAATTTGAATTTATGCCACTAACCCAACCATATGTAAAGGAAATACATTAAAACAAATGTTTCTCTGTAGTACCTCAGTTGTACTCAGAACATTAATTTTAACAGTGGTATGTTAGCAAGATTTTATGTCTGGGGTGTGGTTGCTTGGCTAATGGTGTCCTTTAAGACTCATAATCTTGTATATGAATGTAAAAGAAACATGATACTCATAATGATGAAGATAGCATTGCCAGGGGGAGAGAGATGGATGACCTTGGAGCGATGAAGTATTCCCAGGAGTGAGTGGTGACTTCAGTGGTTCTAAAAAGCCGTATTTCCACATCTGTCCCAGCTCTCGTTTGTCCTCAGTCTTGACCTTATGATTTGGTTGTGCATAAGACAAAACACTGCTTGATGAACTTACTTCATCATTAGCATGATCTTCTCTCTTCCTAAAGACACCAATAAAAGGAAGACACAAAAGATTGTCTCAGAGACCTCAGCAGCAACTAAATTGATCATGGCCATTTTCCCTAAATTAATGGTCAGTGTGCCTACCTGCCTAACTTTGTGGCTGCTGAACTCATAGGGAACAAAGCAGACAGTGCAGGAGCGGATGTCATGTTACAGTCTGCTGCTACACAATTAAATGCAAACAGGATACAGGCAGGAAGATGCTCTTATAGTAAAGTACATAAATACAGATGAATCACAGATGTGCAGAGAGAAAATAAAACGCAAGTTAATCTTTGGAAAGGAACAAAAAGCTGTCTTTGAAATAATTTTTCCTACCCTATCTACTTAGAATGTGTAAAAAGACTAGCATCTCTTTTATGTACTTGAGATAAGTGTGGTGGCCAGGGAAAAAACAATTACAAGAAAAATTACTCCCTTCACAGAACATCAGATTTTTCAAGTTCTGACATTTGGAACTTCACTCTTAAAGAATCGTCTCTGAATTGTATGCCCAGGGAGCATCATTATTATGACATTCAATGTCACATTTATTTAATAAAGTGTAGGTTCATTTATTGAATAAAATGTGAGTGCACAGGCTGGATAATAAGATGAGGCCATAGCAGAGGAGACATCTAAGTCTGTTAGGTTTGCAAGACAGAGTAAATTCCACTTCTCAATTTAATGAGTATTTTCTATTAAATCATAAAGTTACCTGTGTTGATACTGCACACATCAGAGTTTATATTCAGAAATTTATTTAGACCAAGGTGCTTAATGAGGTCTATGGTATAAGAATCTAATAAAAATGAAGTAGCCTATACAGATCAATATATATAACTGTAGATTACAAAGGTAGGAGGGTGTTTTTAACATAATTTATGGAGATTCTCTACTGTCATATTTACATAAAATTCTTAAAAAACTTTATGCCAAGTTCCTAAAATTGAAGCATGAAGGCTCACCAAACCTAAGTGGGCAGCAGGTACTATTGAAAAGTCCAGACCATGTTTTTTTTTCAAAAAGCACCATGAATTTTTTTTCACATGTTCCCATCTCCAGAATCCAGCTCATGAGAAACTAAAACAGCTGATTTGATGATATATTGCCTGCCACTAAAAAAAAATAAAAACCAAACAAACAAAACAAAAACCCACCATGGAATGAAGAGAAGGGGTATTTTAGAAAAGAAAGAAGAAATTTTTGCTTAGGATATTTGCATTCCATATCAATTAGTTCAAAGCTACAATAAGATGAAATTCCATTAATTAAAAAAACAAAAACAACATATATATCTATATACAAGCAGAATTAGACAGTTTTCAGGGGTATTTTTTGATCTTTTATGCTATTGTAGTTACCCTGCTGATCTCAGAACACATAAAGCAGGTGAGGGCGCTTTCTGGCAGGGACATTTCCCACTGGAGCCTCAGCTCAGACCCAGAGTCGAGTGGCAGCATGGAAGGGAATCCATCAGATAGCAGCTAGTTAGAAGCAGTTCACTTCAGATAGACCCTGAAAACACATCATGTTGGGTTACAGCTCCGAAACCCGTTTCCAGCTGCGCAAAGGAGCATTTCTTTCTGTCTCAGGAATTAAATTAACCTTATAATTTGCCTTTAAAGATAGTAATTCTGGTGTTCCGAGTTTTCTGAAAAACACTCCACTCTTTTAGGAGTATTTAATCATTTTGCAGCTTCGACTGGCTTGTTGCTGGAGTGCTTTGTTGAAAATCACAATGTGAATGTCTCAGAAGCCAGAATGTGCTTTCCAACAAGCTGTGTGGGTCCATCTGTGGAACTTCCTGAGGCAGGCGCAGGGAAAGGCCACTTTGCGAGACAAAAAGGTCTGTGTCCCTGAAAACAACCTTGTTGCAGTCATACATATTCATCATAAAACTTATGCTTCCAAAATAATGCTTATTTTAGAGCATTAGACCTAATCTTATATCCATTTAATAGAAAAGGCATTTGCTGTGGATCAGGATTGGTCCAATCTTAGTACCTTAGGAATAAGAAAATGGCATATTAACATCAGCAGTACAGACTGTGTACCCCCAGATGGTTAAGTTTGTTTTCTTATTACTACCATGGACCATTTTCTGCTAAATTTGTTTCCTTGGATATTTGAAGATTCAGTTACTACATTAAGCAAACTGACAGTGTCATAACCTACCACCACTTTACAAAAACAGTTTGCAGAATGGGCATGGGTTTATGCGCATCCATGAATTCCTGGAACTCATTTCCACATAGAGACAACAGACACAATTTAAGTAGTTTCTTGCTAAAAGAGAAATAACAAAATCCCATCTCTACCCCACGTCAGTCAGTAATCAATATTTTTTACTTGCCTCTCCTTTTCTCTGTTAGTCCTGTACCTCAGTGGACAGTCACTGTGATGAAATAATGGCTGCTTGGGGGTAGTGTAAACCTTATTTCTGCATTGT